AATAGAAAAGCAGTTTAAGATTCTTATTGAAACAATTTATTTTTGGAAGATAGTGGTATGCACATTGCAGAAACAATAAAATGCTTTTTCTAAGGAAGCTGGTACTTTTCAGTGGCCTTAAAGAAACCTTGCACTGAGTCGTGTTGTTGGAAGGGGCCATGGGAGGTGGCTGAGTCCACTTGCTGCCTGAGGCCACTCTACCTGTGCCAGCTCTGACCAACGGTGCCCAGCTCTTCTTGAAGAGTCTGAGCTTGAAGGTTGCACAAGCACCCAGCCAATCTTCTTCCCTATCCTTACCGTTTTTATTTTCTAATCTTCTTGCCTTTTTTTTAAACCTGACCCATCCTTGATCCATCCCATATGAAATCATAGAGCAAATTTGTCCTTTTCTCTTCATAGCAGTCTTTCATATATCTGATATACATTCATATCAGTCAGTATTGCATAGATATGTATGTTATTTCCTCTTTTTCCACTTACCCCCTTCAACCTAAATCTCCGTTGATTTTTTTTAAGTTCCTTCTTAACTCATGTTTTATAGATATATGATCATTCAGATTGTTCTTTTCTGCTCTCTTCAGGGGCTACATATTTACTGAAGCCACACAGACCATGGTTACTGAGTTTTCTTAGGGCCATGTAAATCAGGCTGTTTCACAAAGAGTTTGTGCTGCTTTTTTTGTATTGTTTTATGGGGTTTGGCTTTCTCGCTGTAGCTCTCTGACATTGTCCCTTTTGTATAGATTGTGATTCATATAACAACAGAACTTTTTTTTTTCTTTTTTTTTTTTGTCACATATTTGCAGCTTTTCTTACTGCAGAACACCCAAAGTTCTGCCTTTCCTGTTTGTGTAGCTGATCATATCTGCCTTTGCCCAGTAGCGTGCACTTATCCCTGTTGAACAGAACCCTCCTTTTTCCAGACCAAATCACTAGTGTGCGAAAATCCTTCTAAATCCTACATCTGTCCTCCAGCATGCTAAAGCCTCCCAGTTTGGTATAATCTCCAGTTATGTAACATGTTTTCTGGACCATCACTGAGTTCATTACCATCCTTCTGACAATGAGCCACTTGTACCAGCTTCCTAAATAATCTACATTATTTTCACTGTTTACTGAAAGAGTATCATATGAAACCATGTCAAAAATTTTACTAAAGGGACATCCAACATGGCCATCAGTGTTTCTCCTCCACTGATGATTCCTCTTACTTCGTTGCAGGAGAGATTAGATTTGACATCTTTTGTTCTTGACAAAGCTGTGTTGGCTGTTACTTGTCATGTTACAACTGCTTAAGCATAGCTTGTTTACTTGCTCCAGTACATTTCCTGGGTACTGAGATTAAATAGATTGGTGTATATAATTTCCTATTTCCTTCTTTCCTTTCAACAAAACTCTTTGTTCCTTTCTGTCCCGTAATATTCCTTCACTGTATATTATCTACAATAACCACTAGTAGGTGAGGTTTCATCATCCAGAACTTTAAGTCCAGCTCATGGAAAAGGAGCAAATTTTGTTTGAATAATTTCTCACTTGGTCTTTTGATAGTATAACATGAAATCTGTTTGTTTTCCCCATTATCAATAATGCCTGATATATACATATATAAAAATAAAAATTAGATGCAAAAATATTGAGAAATTTGGCTTTCTCAGTGTTGTCTGTTTAAAACTTTCCAGTTCTCCTTGATACTGGCATAATCATTTGCCTGATTTTTTTCCACTTCTGGCAACGTACTTAACATTATTTCACGTTAGCCCAAATATCCCAAAATTACTAGCTGTGTTTCGTTTTCTGCTGCCTTTTCTAACTTTATTCCTGCATGATTAGGCTACACTTTTGCAACTCCCCCAAGTAACCCGACCCAGCTTCTTTCCTGGATGCTTCATTCCTATCTGAGGTTCAGAAAGAGCTTCTGACAGCTAGGCTGATCTTTTACTCTGCCCTTACCTCTTCTGCACAGAGTTCACTTACTTATACTCCTAATGTTATTTCTTTGAGAACTGCCAGTTCTCTTAAACATGTTTTGCCTGCATCAACCTCCCAGAACACTGTATTGACACACTGTATGAGTTCATTGGAGCCTACTTCCATGCAATGTCTTGCTTTTGTTTTGATGTTGTTACTTTTTTCTAAAATCACAGAATCTCCCTCCAAAAAAAAGGTGAAGCCATACATATATGTATGCATATACACATATATTTATACATACATTCTTATATATACATGCATACACAAGTGTTTACCTCTCTCTTTGTGAAGAACATTGAGAACTTCCAAAATGCCTCTTTTTTCTGACCCAAATATTTCAATTTAATACCTACAAAAGAAAATGAAAGATGATGGGTGAGCCACCAGAAAACAAGCTCGTAATTCTGCTGGAAAATGGAAGCACTAAAGATTTCTTATTCCTTTTCTAATAATCCTGCAAAGAAATTTTTTGCTTTACTCAGCTGTAGCTTGTAGGTGAAGGACACATGTGAAGGCATTATAGATCCGTTCAACTCCTGGATTAGAAGAGTGTTAAAAGTTCTCTTCTGCTCTTTTTGCTGGTGATGTATCTGTGATTTTGCAGACATTTATCCTTACATTAATTGTTTATTCTATTTCATGGCATCAGGGGTCTAAGATGCAGGATTATTGTTAGCTGGGCTTCCTGATTTCAGCCTCCTGGGGAAATTACGAGCAGGTATAGGACTGCACCAGTTCATGTTTGACAGGCTCTGCAGCAACAGCTGTAGAAACCAATGACATGGTGTCCCACTGGCTCACAGGGAACCGATTCCTCAGATGTTGTATCTAGCACTGGCTTGGGGTTAAAGAATATCTTTAAAATATGTTTTGGTTTCCTCTCTGTCTCACAGGGACTTATTCTGTGACACTTGGAACATTTCTGTATCCCTCTCTCTGATGAACATAATCTCTCCTTCTCCTGTGAAGGTTCCATATGACAGAAAGGGGAAAATATTTCAAATTAAGCAGCATTCATCTGCATTGGTGATGAGCATAACACACTTAGCTATAAAGATTTTCTGTAAGCATATTTCACTATGTCTTTCTCTTGTGTATTTTAATTCAGTTGGATTAGCATAGTTTTACTTGTTTCTCTCATGTTGTCAAAATATTAAATATTTATAATTACAGCAAGGGCTCATTTTCCTTGTTTCTAAAGAACCATTTACTGCTTATGGGAGTGCTTAACATAAATTGTTAGCAGTAACTTGCAGTATATGCAGGATACTAAAATGGGCTGTATGAATTCCACTTTCATACAGAAGAGTTAGAGGGGGTTGGGTATATATTTGAGCTTTCTTTTTCGTGGGTTTGGTTCGGTTTTTTGTTCATTAAAAGAACTCTTAGAATCGCATTCTCATGACCTGAGATTAATTTAGTATTCAAAATTTCACCTTTCAAGTCATGTTGAATAGTGAAGTTGAAACTTGGGCAGAAAACCCCCTGAAGGCTGATAGTATTTAAGTTATGATTTTTTTACCAGTTATACTTACACACACATACCTCTTGGGGTCTGAATTATAATACCCGAAGCTCACACAACGGGAAAACCCCCTCCTAAAAAGCTAAGGAGGCACATTTTGGCTATTATACAGTTTTCATAAGCGTGGATCTCTGCAAAATAATTGCGTAAAATTTCCCAAGTGGATGAGCACGGATTTTAACGGGCACTATACACGCTGGTTGTACAACTGCAGACGCACACTGCGATCCCTCGGGCACTCACTCTAACGCGGGGCTGTCCCGCTCCCCGCACACGGACGGTGCCGGCGGCACCGCAGCGCCTGGCACCGGCTGCCTCAGGTTTCCCCGCAGAAACCGCTGCCGTCGGTCCCTCACGCATCGAAGTCTCCCACACAAACACCTGCCGCGGGGTGATTTTTTCCCCCCTCACAAGGTGGTCTCGCTGCTCGGGCGCACGAACTCGCGCCGACCTCGACTCTCCTGTCGGAGCCCCGCAGGTCCCGCTCTCTCGCTGCCGCCGCAGGTGCGGGGCGAGGAGGCGGCGGCGGCCGCGTAGCCCTGACCCCCACTTCTCACTCCTCACTCCTCACTCCCCGCTCGTCCCCGCTGCCGCCGCCGCTGCCCCGCGGGCGGGCGGAAGGGGGCGGCGGCGGGGGGGAGGCCCCGCGCCCCCGGTGCCGCTGCCGGGCATGCGCCGTGCCCCGGAACATGGCGGCGGCGTGAGGCGGCCGGCGGCAGCAGCGGCTTGACAGGACCTGCGTCCCGCCCGCCCGCCCAGTGAGTGGCGGCGGCGGCGCTGCGCCGCTCTCGCGGGGGCAGAGGGAGGGAGGAGCGGGGAGGGAAAGGGAGGCGAGGCGGCGGTCGCACCCCGTCCCGGGGCTCGCACCGCGACCTCCGCCCGCCGTGGCCGCGGTCCCAGGCGCCCCCGGGTGCCCCTCCCAGCCAGCCCCGCTGCGCTGGAGGCGGCACCGGGTCCCGCCGCGGCTGCCCCGCGCTCCGGCGCCGCGTCCCGGCTTTTCTGCGCTGCCCGCTCCCCTCCTCGGCGGGTCCCGCCGTCCCCCGCCAGCGGGACCCGCCGGTGGTCGCGGCAGGAGCGGCTTCCCGGGCGAGAGGAGCGGGGCGGCTCTGCCTCCCGGCACCAACAAAGCGCCTCTCTCTCTCCCGGAGTGGCCGCGACTCCCGGACAGCGGGAGTCCCGGTGAGCCAGCGCGGTGCGGGAGGTCCCCGAGCCGGCGGTGCCGCCGTGGCGGGGCTGCCGCGGGGCGGGCGGCGTTTGACAGGAGCGCGGGCAGGACACGCCTCCCCCGCCCGGGGCGGCTCCGCTGCCTCACCGGGCCCGGGCGGCGGGGCTGCCCCTGTCCCGTTCCCGCCGCGGCGCCCGGCGCTGGGAAACGGGCGTCACCCAGAAAAACGGGAGGCGCGTTAAAAATGACACAGTTCGGGGCGCGCACCTGTGTTTGGTGAGGGGGCTGGGGGTGCCTCTGGGAGACAGCGCGGTGGCCGGGCGGGAGATTCCTGTCGCGTTGCGATGCGCTGTGGCGCCTTCCCGTTTTCTTGAGGGTTAAACTGCGTATGTGGCAAATATTGGTTAACGACTTAGAGAGGATATGTTGCACGGGGAGTCATATTTTGGATGGTCCGAAGTAAGTAGTTTACGTGTGGAAAATTCTGTTCTTACAGTGTCGTGCATCATCGCTGTCTTAGCTGTTGCGACAACCTACAGAACACATTGCAGTGCTGTAGTAATTAAATCAATATTCAGGTTAAATTTTATGCTCAATTATTCTTTAGAAGTTAAGGCACATTCAAAGTGTTACTGCAATTTAAAGTTGAAGTCTTTCCCTACAGTTATTTTCTGTTTCTCAATGATCGATTTAGGCTATAGGAGACAGCAAAAAATAATTCTAAAACCTAAAAGGTTTAGAAGAGGTGAAATACTGATGTCTTAGTGAGTTCTACTAATGTAAACTTCACTTGTGACTCATGCATAATCTAACTATTGTAGCTGTAGTAGTTAAAACTTAAAAGCATAGACTCTGTAGATATGACAGTAGGTTTTCAGAGCATGCTGCCTCTGACTTGTAAACAGCTCTTCAAGTCTGACTGGTTGTGAATCTTTTCGTATTCAGAGTAGCAGCCTTAAACTTCTGGATTTTTAAAGCATTCATACTGCACTTTTCTCTTTGAAAGTGGCAGAGAAAAGCAGTTGGTGAGGCTCGGGGTCAGTAACAGCTGCAGAACTGGTGCAGGTGGGAACAGGAGTGGCAGGAGGGCGTTCACTGTGTCACAGTTGGGTTTAAAGCTGTCATGTAACGTTATGGAATAAATAGGGGAGTGAACGTGTTGGGGTGGACCAGTTTTTCATGGGCCACCAGCAAGTGCTGCTCAGTCTGCAGCAGCTCACAGTCCATGTGAGTAATCTCACTGATGGTGTGTCCAGGGAAATTACTTGTATAGCCAGGCTGTGTGCTTGGGGCAGGGGGAGCTGGTTTTCTCCCTTAGGATATCATAAAATGTAAGTACTCTTTAAGGATGATATTATTTGAATTGATGTAAAGAAATAGGACATTGGAGATGCTTCTGTTAGTACTTTATTTATGGGAAGTTTCGCAGTAATGCAAACGGGAAGCAGCAGGAAACGGATGGTGAAACTGAGGTTGAGACTGGGAAGTCCTTGTGTGGCTTTTAACTTAAACATGGTCTGATCTTGAATATGAAAGTAGCATTTACTGATTTTGTTTGAAACTCAGCTAATGGAGTTGGTGTTCTAGTCTTCTATTTGGTGTAAGTAAATGGGTAGCAATATTTGTGTAATATCTTTCAGGTTTCTTGGTATTTTATATTTTTATAGTAATGTTTGGATTCAGCAAAAAACAAGTGCTTTTCATGATGTGTTATAACTGCAAGTATAAACTACTTTCACACTAATTAGAAGCCATGTAGATACATAAACGTAAGATAATTAGATTGTTCTTAACATTTGGAGATGTGTAAGTATTGATCTTGATGTAGGAAGTTTAGGGAACAAACAACGGTAGTCCTTTTAAATATTTTTCCTTCGACTTCGTATATTCCTACTTTAAATGTGCAGATGCTTTTTATTTTTCCCTTCACTGTTACTGCCCTTGCTGCACCCAAATAGTGTGCTCTCATAAGGCAGAGACATTGTTTTCTGGAATAAGTGATAGAGTTCAAAAGAGGCATTTTGCTAGTGTGAAATTTGTAGTACTGAGAAAGTATTAATTCCATTACCTGTCTAAAATCAGTGTGTATAAAACAATGATGCAGCTTTACTTAGGAGAGAATGTGAAAACACAAAGCAAATGTAGAAAGCTGCTCCTGCCCATTGTACATGGGTGTCTTTCATTGTTTTCTTAATATTCCAATGGGATCATGAGCAGTGAGCAAGTCCTCTTTACTCCCTTTACAGAGTGAATATACGGGGAGAAATGAAGTGTCCTCAGCAATTATCCCCGGTATGAAATAGTGTCACTAACAGGAAACGCCATTTGCCGTTACCTGTGCAGGACACTGATGCTGGCTTTCTTATTTGTCTGGATACACCTACCTCAAACAAATTTGGGTAAAATACATATTTTTTTCTTGCATGTTTTAAGGTAATCTTTAGAAATACCATTTGACAGTCTACTGTGATATTTTCTAATTGTAGACATAGGACAAATTACAGGTAGGGACCAGGAAACTGCTTCAAGGAGTCTACACAAGGGAGGTTGTTAAGCAACTTTGTGACCTCCACATCTGTAGGGCATTTAAAGTTCTGTTCATTCCCATTTGAAAGAAATAGCCTTAGGCACTCAGCCTTAGTGCCCTTCTTCCAGAGATTAAAATCTTAAATGTGAAGGACTATACCATTTGTGTTCTTTAAAGTGCAAGACACGCAACATAAATTGCCCAGAACTCTGAGATTTTTCTAGCATGTGGGAAGAGCAGAAAAACCTGTATAAAGTTGTTACAGCTTAATAGTGCAGTGTGTAAATATAAAGTGATGGAAACGTTAAATAGAAAATTATTTTTGCTTGAATGTTACAGGTGTTTTCATTATATGTAGTAGTCCTCCTATTTTTGCAAATCCTTCTGATTTACATTTTGGATCAATGTAATTTGAAGTCCCAGAATAGTTGTTAACATTCTAATACAATTTGGTGAATAATTTTTATTACTGTGATTTGTGGGTTTTGTATATGAGGCTGCTTTTCCTAATACAATTTGTACTGTTTCTTTGAAGACTTCTTTTAAAGTCCAAGTGTTATGTAATTCAGTGGTGGAAGCTTTAGTATTGGTTATATGCTGTTAAATTTATTTTTTCATTGTAACAGTGTGTGTAAGGGTGTGTGTGAACAGCTTTACTGAGGTTGTCTAAGTGGAGAGGCAATTCATTTGAGGTTAAGCCTCTAAAAAGTGAGACAGTTAAGTCCCTAAGTGAGCTGTAGCCTTTTTTTGAGTATATTTCTGTGCAAGTGCTATTTTTGTACCTTTGTGCACCTGCCAGCTGACTTGACCTGTGTGGGCAGTGAGGGCTGAGGGTGTGTTCCCAGCTCCTGCCGCAGTGCTGGGCATGGAGCAGCAACACTGCCTCTTGCTCCTGGGAACAGCAACAGATGATTTGGTGAGTGACCAGCTGAGTCCAGGTGTGTTTGTGTAAACTCCCCACGTTGCCTAAAACTTGTGTTCTGTATCTGTGATCTCTTCAAGTAGATTATTGTCTTTTGGGATGGGAAGGGTGTCTTCAGGTATCTGAGCCAACACTGAGCAGGCTCCCCTTTTATCTGCAACAGGTATATACACAAAGAGTAACTGTTGCTTAAGTGGTGATGATGACCCTCAGAGGTATTTTTATCTCTTCCTTGTTAGTCTTTCTGCTTGGTCAACAAGGACAAAGATCTGGGGGAAAATCAGGAGCTGCTTCACAACCATTCAGAAAGCAGCAGTTGCTTTTATCAGCCACCTTATCTCTTTTATTTGGGCTTGCTCTGGTAGTTTCTTTTGTATACAATGGACATTGGGCACAGGTGTACACAACTAAACCATTTGTAGCTGAGGGGATATAATGTGCTATACCATTAGCAGTGTGTGTGTGCAGGGATATACTGTGTGTTTACCCTTAGCAACTCTCCTCCCAAATTCCCTATCACAAAAAGTAATAGCTTTAGTTTCTGTGTTCTTGGATATGACCAAAAATGTGTTATTTTCTTATCTTGGATCTAAATGAAGTATACACTTCTTTGTGGTGTTAAGTTACGTGTCTCTTTTATTTCAGCAGTGTAGATTCAAGACTGCTTCATAGTTCTGCACTTTAGCTGAGGCACCTGCTTTATGGGTAGTGGTTGATCACTTTGGATCCAAATTGGTGCAATACCTAGTGTGTGCTTACTGTGGTTCTTTCATGTGCTCTCTTCCTGCTTTTCTGAATTACTTGCAGAGCCTTATATCAAAATCTCTCTGAAATACTAAACGTTTAATAGAATTTTAGTGTGCTTTCATTTGTTTTAGCAGGGTAATAGCCTTTCTGCTCCATAGGGAACATACTGTCTAGATACCTTATGTCCAAACTAATCCTAAAGTACGTGGGGTTTTTTGGCTTTGTAAGACTATTGCTGTATGCATCTTAAGCATGAGCAGTGTTTTGGGCTGATTTTTATTTTTAACCCATAAATTGTATGTGTACTCCGCATTTGTATGTTATCATCTAAAACCAAGTAAGACATTGCATTAAAGGTTGTTTAAATCATTTGATTCTAGCCCTTCAGCTTCACAAATCAGGTCAAATTCTATTTAAGATACCAAGGGAATTCAGTCTTTTCATAAAAGGGATGAACGTCTTTGACGGAAATCTATCTGAGTCAGTTGTCTTCTCAAGGTAATACGATATTCCTTTTAGCATAGGGCAAAGATGGGGTTGAGCCTTTTATCCTCTGTAGCACACATTAGTTAAGGGAGCAGCTGAAGTTTATAAAACCTATAAGAGAGTAGCACCATTTTAATGAGGTGCATACCTAAAATGAAGCATGTACCGTTATTTATGTACTGTGTGGAATCTATTGGAGATTAATGCAGGAAGGTTCAGTGGAAGGAGTGCAATTCTTGGGGCACTTTTAAAAGCCCACTTAAAAAGAACAGTTTGTAAACGTGAGTCTTGTGCATGGAGGAATGTGAAAGGGTATCAGCTGCTAAATTTGGTGGAACTCTTTATGGTCACTATCGTTTGTCAGGGGCTCAGAGATTAAAAGGGCTGCCACATGTTTGATGGCACCTCCCATTCCAAACCTATTGTATGTGTACCCTGCACTGGAGGGCTATAAAGAGGCAGACAGTGGTTTTCTGGGAAGGTCAGAGGATATGAATTGGTTTTAATCCCAAAATAAGCAGTGTTATAGTTAGATGGAAGACTTCTAATGTGATGTGTAGGTTTTTTTCCAGCTTGTTGTAGGTAAATAGTCCCTAGTCTGAATGTTCCCTAGTGCTCAATGGTGTAAGCACTGGGTGGAGGAGAGAGAGGGGGATTGCCTCCAGAAGGGTGATCTCCTGAAGTAACAGAAAGGGGGATGCTCTGCCTCTGTCCTGGTCTGGACAGCAGCAGCTGTGTAGTCATGCTGAGGAAGAGGTGGAGGAGGTTGCCCTGTTACTGCTTGCTTCACTTGTGGGTGGGGTTTTATTATGTATAATTGTTGTCATGGGAAATGGGAGAGAGACAGATTTGCTGTGAATGTGCCTGATGCTTTGAGTGTTTCGTCTTCTTCCATTTTTGAAGAGTGAAGCAAATAGTGCAGCTGAGTATTTGCAGCTGTCTAGTCCTTTGAGCATTTAGGAGTTACCGTGTTTTTTATGACCTGTTAGTGCTTTGTTAGCTGCAGAAATGTCCAGCAGCACTGAATGGGGCTTAGAAATGGCACATGGTGTGATTCTCAGGGTTGTCCTGTGCCAGGCCAGGAGCTGAACTTCGATGATCCTTGTGAGTCCCTTCCAGCTCATGATATTCTATGATTCTATGATAAAGTTTGTCCAAATAGATGGACAAATATTTTGATGGCAGCTGCGTGAAGATCCCTTGTGTAAGGGGACTGAAGAAGGCTTTCTGTCACAGCTATCGGCACCAGCAACAGATGAGCCCAGTGCAGGGATGTGCGTGTACCTGGAAACTGCAAGCAGCTCTCTGGGCTTTTCTTTCTTCAGAAAGCTTCTCTGGAAGGGGAAGCTATCAGGAAATTGCTAAAGGGCTTATTTAGTTCTAGTTGGTTTGTTTTTGCTCCCTGACTGGACACCAGTGCATGGGATCAGAGTAGTTATTCCATTATATAGACCAGGGTACATTGTGGAGTGTTGCAGCAGCGGGGAAATGTGGTGAGGCAAGTTGTGTCTTTGTTAGTATACAGTGGCATGGAGCCTCAGCCAGCATTATGTTGTTTGGATTCTCATGTGGGGAGAGAGAGGCAGATACTTTATGCACTGGAAGAGGATGGCAGCAGAAGTATGTAGCTGCTGGCATTGAGTACAAGCAAGGAGAGCCAAACATGTCCTGAAACAAGCCAACTTCACCTGGGCTGCTGGCAGCAGCTGGATCTTATGTAGAAATGTCCCAAGGCTGTTCTTCATGCCTTTAATGAAAAAAATAAATTGTGCATGCTGTTTGATGATACAGATTTCTGCATCAGACTAAAAGTGTTTGTGTTTCTCTGGATACTCTATTGTGAGTCAAAAATCCGGACCACAGGGGTGGGTTTGCTGATTATGCGCTGTCTGGATAGAGCTCTATTTGATCATATCTGAAACCAAGCTTCCACAGTTCCTTTTCCAGTTTGGAGGCAGTGTAGAAGTGAGGAAGCCAAAGTTACCTAAAAGGGTGAAAAATCCCTTTTCCATCATCCCACCTCTACTTATCTTTCTCCTCCTTTTCCCCTTATGTATACACACTGTGTGACTGCTGGTGGTGGTGGTGCTTGTTGTCTGCTAAAGACAAGTGCAGAGGAGCTGTATAGGGATCTCGAGCATCTGGGCATTTCTTACTGTGTTTGCAACAGCGATTTCTTTTCTCCCCTACCTGTTGTATTTACACTGTGCTAAAAGTATGCTCAATGCCTCGCAGAACAAACAGTTTGAGACCTCACTTCTGTGTCAAGGGAAGCTGAGCAGAAGGCAGAGGAGATGTATCTGGGTATAGAGAGAACATCATGCAGGTATGTAGCTCTTACCCCGTGCTAATCATACAAAATTATGTTGGGGTATTTTTTTTGTGCATAGTTTAATTAGTTTGCTTTATGAAAGAAATTTGAGTTAGGCATTTGGACAAAGCCAGGTTTAATAATGATGATGAATGTTTTCAGGAAGAGTACTCCAGGCTTGAAGGGGGAAGTGGAAAACAGCACAGAGGTTTCAGTGTGAATTCACCAAAATGTTTAAACAAATTATGTTAAAAGTCTTGTGCTGCTGTAAATACGGACTAGTAAACTCATGAAATGGGCAGTTTTACTTAAGATAAAAATATAAGCTGGTTTTTTTAAATTTATTTGAATATAACATTAAAATACCTTTCATGTGGGAAGACTGGTATTTTAAGAATATTTAAAGCTGTTAATGGCCAGTCAGCCGCTTTGCTGAACTGCTGACTTCACACATACCATTTCCTTTTTCAGGTTTTTACAACCCCACATCTTCTGACTTTTAAAGCAGGATGGGGAGGGAGGGAAGGAGGAGAAAAGCTATTTTCATTTTTTGCTGGTAGCCATAGAGCAGCTCTAAACTACACTTTTTAAAATTACTGTCAATTTAGTAAATGTTAAATCTGCGTGACAAAAAATGTTTCTGTTGGGTGTTGATACAAGCTATGCTGTTTAATTTGGAGACCTTACTTCTCTGATATTCTCATTTATGACTTTTATTTCTTGTTTCAGGAATTTTTGGGACAAATCCTTGGTCTAACCCTTGTTAGTGTTGCTTTTCAAAATATACAATGCTTTACTCTGTACTGAATAACGCACTTAATGGGGTTTGAGAGTTTAGAGAGATTTTTGTAGTCTAGAAATGTATGACCTACTGTAATTACAGTTGCTCATATTCTTAGGCAGATCATAAACTTACCTGGTGAGAGAGCAGAACATTTACAGGCAATATTTTACTGCTGACAGCTTAAAAGTTTGTTTATGCTAATCACTTCATAAATAGTGAGCAGTACACTGCTGGTGACTTTCAGAGCATTTTTGCAAGTGCAGAAAATTTCTTCTTGCTGTTAAAGCAAATGACATTACAAAAATATATTTGTAAGGCACTAAGTACCCACTCTCTTCCTTTAATAACTTAAGAAATATTCAAGTTTAGTTGTTGTAATGATATATATGACTAGCTAATATTTGATATTCTGAAAGCTTGTAAATTTGGCAAAAGTTTATCTGTCCTAGCTCTATTTTTATTAACTAGAAGAGGTTTTCAGATATAGCATTTTAATAAAAGCTCTGCTGTATGAAAATCTGGAAGTTTAATTTCCTTTCCTTGAAAGAATCTCACTTTTTTTTTAATACAAAGAATGTGAACTAAAAGGGATTCCAACTTGGATCAAATTTCTTGTCAGAACGCTGTCTGATTTTGTATTTGTGTGTATAAATGAAACAAGACCTGATCTTTAATGTTTAGAGATCATATATATGCAATGCTGAATTGTACTGAATTACAACTGCAAAGCTTGCATTACCTTTTGTGAAGTTCTGATTCGTTTGTGTAAGTTTTTTTTCTATTAGCCTGTGAGATCTTACTCTTTTATAATGATGCTGCAGTATGCTCTAAGAGGTGTGAAGTGATTATCTGTATTACAGAAATAAGGAAGTAGATGCTGTTTTATCTTGAAGCATACTAAATGAGTTTACATGCTGGGTAACTTGCTGGAGAGTAGAATTTTCAAGTATTGGAAATTTGAAAGCATTGTATTTTATTAAAAAGCTCCTTTTAAGTCTTACTCTCTTTATCTCTTTTCAGCCCCTTAAAGACTTGTAAAAATAGTATGAAGTAGAGTTTTAGATTAAAAGACAACAGATAAATAGATGATTAAGTTTAAGAAAAGGGTATTCCAGATTAATGACGGATAACTTTGAAGTAATACAGTTAAATCACACTTGTTTGGGAAGCGACTGGTGCCTGTAGGCACTTGTTACCCATGTGTGGAAGCTGGAGTGGGAACTGTGGTTGCTGGACTCTGTGTCTTTCCAAGGAAAGGCTGCACAAGTCCTTTCCTTGAAGGGCTCTGCAGTGCTGGCAGTAACAAACAGCAGGAAGGAGGTGAAGAGCGATGGGAGCGTGGCCAGCAGTTGTAACTGATGTCTCTTGTGTTTCTAAAGGTAACAGCACATGAGCACTGGCGGTGAAAGCAAGTGTGGGGCTTGCACATATGAAGGAGTTGGGGGAGAGTATTTCTTACCTTACACTGTACCTAATATTCTGTCTATAACTGGTTTTGCTGTTCAAACTATTTGTAAATAATTTTCCCAGCTTGCATATGGAATTTTATTATGAAAACATCTGTAGAAGAAAAAGAGGGGCAAGTATAACTCCTTGTTCATATTAAGTATGAAAAATATCTGCCTTAATGTCAAGCTAAAATTAAGAACTTAATTGATGCTTCAGAGTGAATGTTCTATTAGATTCCTCCTCTGTACTGTGTACCTGTGTAAAAGAACAGCTTCAGTCCTTATCCAGCAGAGACTGCCCATTGACAGCTGTCCATTCCACAAGTGAGGTCACCAACAGTGAGGACTGAGTTACTGCATTGGTACCAGTGGTAGGGTCAAAAAAGCTGACAGGCTCTAAAACTGCTGTCTCTTGTCTTACCTCTTGAAATGAGATGCAGAGTCATTGACAGAAAAACTTTAATCTTTTTGGTAGGGAATAAACCCACAATCTCCTGGGTGATTAGGCTTCTTTTAAATGTTATGTTTATCTCCAAAATTATGTGCTATGTATTTTTATGAGCAAGCATGCTGTCAAGATAAACTTGCACTCGGAAGCCCTAAATATGCATGATTTTTTTTCAGGACATTCAGTTTATTGAGTGCCTGGCTTACAGTGAAAAGGATAATGGAGATGCATGGCAGGCAAAACAGAGCAAGTTTGACGTTTTCTGTAGAATACTAGCTTCTTTGAAATGTAGCAATACATATCCTTTGGGTAATTCTTTCAAAATTAAAAGAGCGAAGTTAGGCAGGAAAAATGTTTTCTATCCTGTTTTCTGACTCCTAGTATTATGTACTAGCAGCGCAGAGAGTGAAGGCTTAGGCTTGTCTGCTAATATATGGCTTTCTGACAAAGGACTTGCACAGTGGGAGGTGGCTAATAGAAGTGATTTGGGGATTAACAATAAAAACTTCAGTAAGGAATTAAAGGCAGATGAATGCTTTCCACCTGATTTTTAAAAAAGTAACTGATGTAAGGGATGTTAACCAGAGAAAGACTAAAACTTGGTTTACAGGATGAATTGAGATGTGATGTAAATAATACACTTCGTGAGTGTGGAGGTCCTTTAAATGCTCTTTGGATTGAAGACATTTTGATAATAAATCGAGTATTACCTTCGGTTCATGGATTGTTTTCCATTTGCTTTTTCAGTTTCCATAGTTTACAGCAAACGGGTTCTCACTGGATTCTGTGAGTCAGACAGTCCCTGAATGTTTTGGCCGTTTTCTGTCCTTGACTGTCCTCTGTGCTTAGCTTGGGCTTTGTAACTTTGGTTCTCATTCTGCTCCTTTGTATACTTGCAAGCCATTGCGCTGCACCCTTGTCATTGCGTTTCTTTGTTTGCTCATATCTTCCTGACCTTGTTTAGTTTTTCCTTTAATTTCTAGAAGCTGGTAGATTAATTTCTTAACCCCATCTTTCTCACTCAACTTGCTTGTACAAGAATGCCTTGAGCGCTGTCCTTGCTGTGTCACTTTGCCAAAATGTCCCCTGGAGGTGTTTCCCCTGTATTTGCTGGTGGTTTTCTTCTCTTCTGTGGTGGGTGTGCTGTGAGTTGATCCAGGCTGGTGATGGTGAGAGCGACGTAAGAGGACTTTGTCTTGGTTAGCAAAGGACATAACTGCCTTGCTTACGGTTTACCACTTAATTCTGTGAGGTGATGGAAAGTTGTTCCTTGGTCTGCCCCTGCAAAAGAAGTTAGACTTTGTTTCAGGCTGACCCTGCTCTGTTTTGGAGGTAACGGGTTTTCATTTTGCAGTAGTTCAGCAGCACATGGTGGTTGTTAGATAGAAGCTCAGAAATACCGTTCTGGGATGTTTTCTGTGACAATCTGTGCGCTAATTTAATAGCAGCTCTAAATTGAATACTTAGGTGTAACTGAGTTTTAAGTAGCACCTCTTCAAAACAGCAATATATTGTGTTCCTGCAGTTGAGTTTGCCTCATTTCAAACAGCACTTTCAGAACTTTCAGTTGTCTTATATTTTTAACAGGCTGGTGGGCATGCTGTAAAACAACCTATCTGGTACAACACAAGCTAATGAAAAGCTGGAATCCTTTTTATGTCCTGACAGACGCTCCGGTTGTGCTAAACTTGATGACTATCACTGCAGGGTTGGAATCTTTATTACTGCACCAAGTGCAATCTGGTACTTGGAACAAAAAGATAAAAACCATTCACTGTTTTAAAGTAATCTGTAAAAACAGTTACTTTGACTCTGCATCACCTTTCATGATTTATTACTTGCAGTGGAAAAGCTTTGAATTTTTGGGGGAGTCTATGAAAGTATCAAGTATTTCAAATTTATTTGATGGCTTAAAAGGATTTCTGTTCTTAATCCTGGTGATCACTTATGGTATGAATGTTATTGTGTAGCAAAACCTGCTTATTTTATGGTAGTATTCAGTTTTATTTATAACTGCTTTCAAGTCTCAATCTTGAGAATTTTTGTAGTAAGTATCCAGCATGTTCACACACAACACACACACACTAAATGAATTCTACAGTCCCTGGCATTTTAACAGAACATATTTAATTACTTTTAGCCATGAGACTTGCACTGTATAAAGTTTTCATCATGCAGTCCATCAGCACAGTGTGCAAGTTCCTTGAAGTTTCACTAAAACGTCACAGTTTCAAGAAAATACTCAATTTGTATGATGCCTCTCTTGTTAGATGTAATACATATGTGTATTTTATTTTTTTTAACATGTGAATAGAAGATTCAAGAAATCCCAACTAGATAGCCTGCTTTTCAACTATTAAGTCTTTCCAGCATTACGTAAAAGAAATATCTTCTAAAAATTTTATGTTTGAGAAAATTAATTTTGGAAAACGTATACACATATTTAAATTTAAAAAAATCTCAAACTTTTGATGATGTCAGCTTTAAACCTCATGGGTGTTCCTTGGAAGGAAATTAACATATATATAAGAATATAATTCAGAAATTTGAATGTATTTTTACCCATTATTACTTGAAAAGTTAGTGGAAAAGAATAATAAACTTTCTGGCTTTGTTGCTTCAAGGCTAAATGCATCAAATGAGTTTGACTTGTACACAGTCAAAGTTCAAAAAACTAGGTGCTGGAGTAGGAAATCATAGTAGCACACACAGACACCCCCTGCCCCAAGTTTGGTTTTGCTGTTTTACACTAGTTCAACTAATCCGTCCCTTCTGGTTTCTAAACCCTACAAGAATGAGACTCATTGCTTTTATCTACAGTTAACATTTCCCTAACAAGTTCTCTGTGCTCTGTTTCAAGTTGTACTGGGCAGGGGTGTCAGTGAGCACTTGGGCCTTTGTGTAAATTTTTTACATCAGTGTTTTGTTTCCTCTTCAACTGTAGTTGTGGAAGATAGTGTGTTTTACCCAGAGGTGTTTAAGTTGATGATTGTTTAACTGCACAAGTGAGGCAGGATGAGTAGGTTACATATAATAGTCTTTCTTCCTCTTTTCAGTATGTTTCTCGGGGGAAAAAGGAATAATGCACATTTTATATCTTTCTTTGTATTAAAACCCCACAGAAAATGCAGATCATTATGGAATGAACTGCCTAAAACAACGAAATGAAAGTTTGCATTTGGCACCCTTACTTCTTGTATGTAATCATTGCTTACATGTTACTCTTCGCATAGTTTGTTAAACATTTGCTGCTTAAAACCAGCAAGAAAATTATACACCAATACAAAAAAAATCATCCTTTTAAAAAAAAGAAAACCCAAGTGCCAACAACAGCCTCCCCCCTAACTTGTTGTATTACTGCTCCACAGGAAACTGTTGTGCTGAAAGGAAGAATTAACTGGTCTTTCAACTTCAGCCTTTTTATTGTGAGAGGGAGATCACAGAAGTGTTACCATGGGGAGAACAACAGTTAAAGGTAAGCTTTAATACGAGAGAATGAAAATACGGAACCTGCTAAATTCTCTTTTTAAAGCCTGTGGGATATTAGTTTACAGTTACTGTACTGTTAAATTAAAAAGACAGTTTGTGATATGCCCTGAATACAGGTAAGTTCAAACTTCACGTTGTTATACAATAAGTATACTAAATTTGGCTGTCCTGGAGTTCTGCAAATTTAACCAAAGCCATTCTGTCCTGTGGCAGCTTTGAAACGATTATTCTGCTCTGAAATTGAAGAATGTGTCTAGATGTGCTGTTAGTGAACATGAAGGGCTTTATTCTGTAACTGCATATAATTTAGCAGGACAATAACTGAATAGTACCAGGAATCAACTTTTATCACGATGATTGGCATTAGCAGCTGTTTCTGTAAGATAAAATGAACATTTTAAAAGAAATTCATCCACAAATACAGAGTGTACCACAAAGGTGTGATTTCTGCTGTATCATGTCTGCAGATGTTAATTGTGAGTTATGTGCTAAAATAAAGAGTGAGACTTTAGAAGAAATGAGTGTTTGGGCTGGTGAAACAAAGAGAATGTGAAGAGAGAAAAACACACTGTCTGAAACCAGGTTGCTTCTGCTTTCAAAGCTTTCAGATTGGTTGTACTCCCCCATAAAAGGCTGCAAACATTTTTTGTACTTTTCTTGAGCTTTCCACCTTCAGCCCAAGCTGCTTTATGTGCTTGTGTGTTCCCTTGGTAAATAGTTGTCTTTTGCTATAATAGATGTTCTGTAATGGCAGGAGTCGTCCGTTTAATTGTTGCACCAAGAGTTTATGGAGGAAGTCTGTCACCTTCTCATGTAGGTTTTCTGCATGGCTGTTGTCTAAATATACTGAGAGACTCCCTGTTCCAGGCAGATAAGATAAGAATCCCACTAGGGAAGCAAAAAAGGAAGGGCAAGGAGAAATTTCGTATTCACTCTGTCTTGATATCCTCAACTGTGTGCACTGAGGCTTAGTGAAGGGCAACTAAAAGGTGCTCACAACCCTGTGTGGTAGGGAGTGTGAAGAAGGCCCCTTCTGAGCAATGGCAAGGCTTACTAAAGCTCATCTGAAGGTGAGTAACTGCATGGCACAACAAGAGCAAAAGTTTCAGTCATCCAAAGTATTCTTATTCATGTGGAAGAGACAAGAGATTTCTTTGAGAAAAGTGGTATCCTGCCATGTTTGGAACAACCAGCAGAGTTGAAGACTAAGGGGGCTGAGAGATAGCTGTAGAAATCTTGAAAGCGTGACTGTGAACCGTGTTTTCCCCACATTGCAACAAGCAAATAGCTTAGAAGACAGCACGTGCATGCCTCCTCATGTAGCACACCATTCTGTGATAACAACTATTTCTGTCACGAGCCGTGATGCTTGCCATCACTCAGACAAAGCAGTCATCTTGTTTGTTGAGAGGTTAATTCTTCTAGAAAGAAGTGTTGCAGAGTTTCAAAGCATCTCAGGCTAGAAGCTGGAGTTCAAGATGGGATTTTATAGGAGGAAATATACATTGGTCACCAGGATTATCTTTACCAGAGCTTTACCACTGCCTTCTCTGATTCCTTTTTTTTGGAATTCACAAGTCAGTCAAGATAACTTTGTCTTTTTCTTCTTTGTTTTTAATTTCTTGCATGATAGATGTGGTTACTCTTGCCTGTCTTCTGTTGAGTAATCTTATCAGCAGAATTCTGTGGTTACAGATAGGGTGGGAGTTATGTAAACACATGGAATTTTGGATCAGTAAGCAGAAAGCACTATGTTAAATAACCTTAACTCTAATCTTGTATCTAAAGCTTTAGCTTGTGAAGTGCACTGTAGAAAAAAAATTAGTTGGTGAACAATAGAATGTGTTGCTTTTATAATTTCAGTATATACTGTACTCTAATCTGGCTACCTAGAAGAAAGCAATCTTTCATGGGGTATTTAGCCTGTATGTGTTATAGGCTAAATATATTTAGTTACATAGCAAATATATAAACCCTATGTATGTGTATGTATTACTTTATTTTTAAAACTTTTTTTGAAATTGATATCCCATTCTTTGTTCTTTTTTTAAAGAGAGCTGAGTAGCTTTTAATTAAGTCCACAGTAGCAGCATTTCATTCTAACTCTTGTTTGGGCAAATAATCTGAAATATACTGTGCTTTATGTTGGAAAGTAAACTGAAACTTGTCTCTTCAGAAATGAACTTTGTGAACAGAAGATGATAGATAATGAATTAAACTGACCTATATTTTTTGTCATCATGAGCCTCAAGACTCTAGAACTAATAAGTCTCCCCTGTCTGCAGTATAAAGTTCCCATTTTCAAGTCCATTTTTCAGGTTAAAGGAATTAGTCATTGAATGTGGCTAGGAAATGAATTTGGAAGGAGATGAAAACAAAATGACTCTTTGTACCTGTAGAAGTATAATTATAATATATTTTTTGAGGTTTGACCTCAAAGTTTGACCAAGCTGAGGATCATCTGTGGAGGGAGTCACCTTCAGCCCAATGATTTGATATAATAGTCTTCTGCCTCAATTTTTTTTCCACGATCTTTGGAAATGAAATTCACTAAAATTGAGAATATAAAAATTTCAAATGCATTAAAAAAAAAAAGACATGTGTTTATATTTATAAAATTGAATTTTAATAAAATCATATTTCTTTATTGTTGCTTTTGAAAATAAACCATAGTTTTTTATCCAGCCTAACTACTGACATTGGAAAAGGCACACCTGACCAAGTTGTAATAACAATTGTGAAATATAGACTGGGAAAAAGTTTTCTGTGGTAGTAGTACAGGGTGTCTCATGTGAAATCAGGTTGGTAATTCTTCCTGCTTGTAGCTTTTCATCTGCTTAGACAAAACACTCCAGCTTTGTAATGGTATTCCCATGGGGAGTTTTTGGAAACAATCTTGGTTTTATTTCAATTTATTTTTGGATGTTTCTGCATGTGCTGGGTGAGATTTACTTGATTGAGATTATTTTAAAGAGCAAATTTCTGGCCATCAAAAACAAGTGATAGAGACAGTGCTTTGTGTTTACTGTGAATGAAAAAGCTTCCACCTCAAATGAACTAGATGTTTCAGTTGCTATTGAGAAATCCACTTCTCATTAGTATAATCGTCTCCTCTTGTTCGTGTAGTTGTTCAACGGCTGATAAGAAAACTGTGGTGCCAAGAGTGCTTTGTTTCAGCTTTCATATTTACTGTGATATTTTTGAGATAAGCACTAAACTTAAGCGGTACAGAGAATAAATAATTCGTATGGTGATTGTCAGCAAGAGCACATGTGGTGTCTAGGCTGCAGTTTTTCACATTCTTCCACCTGTTCTTGATGTCTCTCATCATAAAAGGCTGTCATCTTGTTTGAAATCTGGCACTCTGTCCTTTCAAGCCTTGGGTGTTCACAGGAAGCAGTTACTAGTTCTCTTATTTCAGTGAAGTCCTACATGAGAGACTTACTGATCTCCTCTTTGGAAATAGGTGGATTGGGAAGTTATTTATTCTCTAAGCTGACAGCCTGATGTCTGTGGTAGTCCCATGACTGTTTTGGGGAAAACCTGACTAACTGAGCTTATAGAACATGGCAAAAGGCTCTGCTGTTGATTACTGCTGCCCAGAAGAATTAGTTCTAACACTTTTTCTTCTCAGATTCCCACAGGTAGTTGTAGGGTGTCCATTTGTGTGGCTTAAAGCCCTATTCCTGGGGAATTTTGGGGATCAAAGCTTGTGGGCACCATCTTGAATAATTTCAGCAGTTCCATCTGAAGTTGACCTCCATAAGGATTTTTCTCCATGAACTTATCCAATAAAAAATGCTCCAAAGCCAACTTTTGAAAAAAAAAAAAATGCATTGCCCGTTCAGTGTCATATTTGAATTATGCTTGAGTCCATGAGTGTCAAAAGTAGGTCACCAAACCAACATATATTAAAGACTAAAAGGAATGAGTGAACTGTCTCCCTCAGTCTTCTGAGCTGCCCAGTTCCACTGTGTCTCTCATACATACTGAAATCCATCAAAAATGAAGTATGACAGACTCCTTTCTGAATGTGGGTAGAGATGAATGATAGGGAAGGTAGATTCTTCAGAATGATTCTTTTAGATAGCTGGCATATGCACTTAGTTGCTTCGAATATTCAGGAATTTAATACTGAGAATATTGAGTATTCAAGAATCTAAATATAGAATGGAATCTTTACCTCAGAAATATGCTTTTAGGGTGGGTTTGTTTATTTTCCTTGTTTCTCAGTTCAGAGTGATCTATACAAGATTTATAAAAATATCCGGTTATCTTAAGGATCTCAAATTGTGTGTAGGTTGAGTAAAACTATTAAAAATTAGGACAGGGTTGCTATCTGTAGAGCTAATACTACATGTTCTGCAACTAGATTTATTCTGATAATGTGATAAAAAGTAGTCAAAAGCTCTGCTTTTTTATGGTGTTCAAAATATATTTCTCAATATATTTTGAAAGGAAAATAGTGTGGTGAAAAAATTTAGAGTACCCTTTGATTATGCGCTGAAATGAATAGAAGAACATCAGTATATTTGGAACAAGATATTCTGTATTGTTTGAAAGCATTCTGTGTTATGCTGAACATCGTTATGATGTGAATATTACATTTATTATGTAACGGAATCTTGTCTTTTAGATTCAAAGAATATTAAAAAAGAGAAAGATGGAAAGAATCAGCAGGCAAACAACCCGTCTTTAAAAAGTGGTAGGTATTGCAGCTGTCAGGTTATTAGTTAAGGTACGCTAAAAGAAAGAGTGTGTTGGGATCATACTATTTCATGAGGCTTTTGGCACTGTCTTGGGTTATTATTGTTGGGTAGTTAAAAACGTACCATTGCTTTTGTCTAACTCTGTTAGGAAAGCGTGTTTTGCTATAGAAGGTGATGGCTGAAACTGCTTGACTTGAGCTTGATAGTTTTACTAACCAAGACAAGTACTGTTTGTATGTATGATAAAAGTTGCTGTGTAAATATTAATATTTTTAGACTATTACTAATTTGTCTGTTGTTCTCATCGTTTATTTCTTAGTTTCATGCCTTTGTTGCTGAAGTTATTTTCCCTTTTCTTAATGTGTTTGCTGCTGCCAAAGAAAGGATTTATGGTTTAATAGACTGAGTTTTTAGGATTACTAACTGGATTAAATTGCCTGAGATTCTAATTTTACTTTAAACAAATTATTTGAAAACAGAATTTGTGTTTTCATAGTAAATTGAGGAAATTACACACTTGCCAGAAATAATCCAGATTCTTACCGAACTTGAACTCTGCTGTCCTCAACAGGTGCCATAAGGCAGCATATACATGAGACTGCTGTCAGTTTAGCTTTTGTGGGCTGAGTGAGAAGACAGCAGCACCTTTACATATCCTTCATGTGTTCATGATGGTTGCTTGAATTTGGGACAATAAGAAATGTCATGAGTCCTATTGGCTTAAGTACAAAATCTCCTCAGGAGTTCTCGAAAAAATGTCACAGAGTTATTTAAACTCTCACTCTGCTCACATTTCTGTGCCCTCTGACTCCTGATAGATGGTCTGGTTCAGGGCTTTTCTTAGGTACCAGTGGAGAAGTTCCTTATGGGTAGCACAGTCACTGAACACACATGCTGAGATACCAACACGGTAGCTGGGTAGTTGAGGTGGTGACTTGGCATAGAAGATACGATGCCTTGTTACCACCAGCCATAGTGGAGCCTTCTGCTGTACCATTTACCAGACCTAATTTTTCTGTTTATTGGGGTTCTAGCAGTTGCAGAATGGGCAAGGTTGGAAGGGACCTCAAGAAGTCATCTTAGTCCTGCCAGCAGAGTCCCCTAGAGCGCATTACTCAGAATTGTGTCTGGATGACTTTGGAATATCTCCAGAGAAGGAGACTCCACAACCTCTCTGGGCAACCTGTCATCTTTGTTATTTGTCCCTCTTGCTTTGAGACAGAAAAGGAATTGTATTTGTGTCTTTTTCCCTCTTCTGCAGTGTGAAAGGAGCTCCACTCAAACTGGACTCAGCATGTTTGTGTTTTAAAATAATGTTGTCTGACATGACAGACGGAACCCTATAGGGAACCCCCCACCATCAATATGCTTTTCATATGTGGATAAGATAACCATATTTCATGAGTCATTGGAAAATGTCCCTGCCTCCTCCTGCAGCGGAGAGCAAAGTGTTGAAAAAGCTTGGTGGAGAAGCAGTGCTAAGCAGGCAAGCATTATTCAGTCATCTGTGCTCTTCCACTTGGGCTACATGTTAATCAAGTGTCTGGACACTGAACCTACTCATGAAACCTGGGCTCAACTCTTGTCAGAGAAGAGTGCCTTGCAAAATCTCTGATTTTCTACAGATGAGATGATAATTTTTATCCAGTGTTGTTGCTTTTTGGTGGCAAGGAAGCAGAACGAGCATCTTGATGCTGGATGAAGAAAAATGCCTTACAATGCTTTGGGTTAATATCCAGGAAGTCTCCAGAGTTTCCAGGGGGATTTGTGATAGGAAAAGTTGAAGAGGAGGGGAAACACAGAGATACAGGTGAAAAAATAGACCAAAGTGAGTAGAGAAAGACATGAGGAGGAGAAAAATTCTAACTGAATGATCACAGAAGAAGGTACATATGGTACATATACATAATGATATAGAAGAAGGTACAAGGCATAAAGTGGTGTATGAAATACCTTACACTTAAACTACTGTATTTGCAAGTATGTAAAGCATGTAAATGAAGATTAGAAGGAAATCTCATCTTTGAAGAAGAGAGGTTGTGGGATGAAGACTAGAAAAGATACTTCTCTATGTCCAAAGTCTCAGATGCATGCCAAGGGAACATTGGGGTGATAGGAGAAGACATGAAATGCTCTATCTGCCCAAACAGTGTTTAGGCTGTGGTCATTCTGTATTAAACTAACCTAAATAAACCAGGACCTTAAATTCTACCAAGCTGTAAGTGACGCTTAACTCATAGTTTAAATCTTCAAGTTAAATTTTGTAAAACTTTTGACTTACACTAAACTGAAGCATTATGTACAGTGGAAGACAGGAAGCACTTCATCAAACTGGGCATTCACATATTTGTGGCAGCAGGTGTGACACCTCTGCTCTGAGGGTGCTGAGGTAGTTGACTGATGTCACTGTGAGGCTTCTTGCTCATTTTGGAGGGGTCGTAGTGATTGAGGAAGTTTCATAATGACTGAAAAGGTAAAACAGTATACCCACTGTCAAGAAGGACAATAAGGGAGTACCTGGGGAATTACAGGCTTGCGTGCCTGATACAAGTCTTTAGGAAGACTGTGGAGAAAACCCTCCTGGAAGTCATTTCCAAGCAAATAAAGGACAAGGATGGAGTTTTGAACAGCTGAGATGGATTTGCCAGATGGGAACTGTACATGACTGATTAACTTTTGTTGTCATTCTGTAAACAAGGGGAGAGCAGTGAATGTTGTTCATCTCTACTTCAGCAAGGCTTTCTGTATAGTTTGTGTAGTGTCCTTTCAGCCATACTGGTGAGATGTGGTTTCTATAGGTGGATGGAAAATTGACTGGGCTGCCAGGCAGTGCAAGGTCCATCTGGTAGCTTGAGGCATTTCTTAGAGGTCAAGGCTAGAGCTGATGCTGTTTTACACTTTGCTGTCAGATGGGACGATGGGACAGAACACATTGTCAAGCCAGTTTGTGGGCAACATCTCATGGGGAGGAGTAGACTGTAGGCTGGAAAGCAGGACTGCTCTTCATATGTACTTGCTCATGCCAAGGAAATGGGATGACAGGAGCACTGTGGGATTCAAAGGTGAATGGAGAGTCTCTCCCAGCCTCAGGCAGACTGGACCCTGCAGCAGCCTAGGAGGTAAGCTGGCTGCCTGGAAAGGAATTTAGCAGGAAAGGCCCAGGAGCCCTGGCAGGCAGAGAGCTGAGTGTGGACCTGCAGTGTGCTCTTGTGGTGAAAGACGACAACTGCATAGGGATCCTGTCAGCAGGAGTGCAGGCTGGGAGGAGGGATTCGCTGCTTTGGGGTATTTCAGAGACCGCATCTGGAGAACCATGCTCACTTTTGATCTGCGCAGTACAGGGAAGGCACTTCTGTACTGGAGCCGGCTGGCTGTCCACCAAAAAAAGGAAGGTGCTGGAATGCAAGGTGTAAGCAAAAAAAGTGATATGGAAACCAGAAAAATGTTAGGTTGTTTTTTCTGCTAAAAGAAGAGAAAGCTTGTGGGAGATGGTCTTGCTGCCTTCAATTACCTGACAGGCAGCTGTAGAGAGGGCTCAGCTAGGCTTTTCTGAGGTGCAGTGGAAGAAGAAGCGACAAATAACTGGCTGGAGTATAAGAAATTCCTCCTTGATGGAAGGAAAAAAATCTTCACATGGAGGCTGATGGAATCTTGGAGGAGCAGGAGGCTGAACTAGAGACCTCCTGGGGTCCCTTTTAGCTTGAGTTACTTTAGGATTGGCAGGTTTGACAAGAAGTGATAGGGTATTGGTACAGCATTGCAGAGAGCATCAAGGGTCATTGACCCATGGGTCACTGCCACTAATGCAGGCAACTGTGGCATAAACAATTTCCTTAATTTTTAAATTAATCAGACTTTTTGCCCATGCTGCTTGTTTTGAATCACTGTTTTAGAACCTCACTCCTGTGTTGGCTATAAACTATTTTAATTTTTTTTAATAAAAGGTTCTGGTGTGTTCTTTTTTGTTTGGTTGGTTGGTTGGTTTTTTTCCTTTTTTTTCTCCCTCCCCTTTCCCATACATGCTGATTTGTTCTTCAGTGTAAAATTTCCTTCTCTCTTGTTTTCACTTTGCTGATGGGTTAGAAAGTTGTGCTTGTTGCATAACAAGTTTTTCTTGAGCTGTTTAATTCAGCCTTCAGATATGAGTGTGAAGTGCATGTTAAATCATTTAGTGTGAGCTGATTTTTAAAAGACTTTCTAGTTGTCAGAAGCTGCATGTTTTCAGAGGCTTCAGAATTAGAAATAGATATATAATAAGCTTCCTCTTTACCTCTGCACACTGAGAATACAGAGAAGCTTTTGTGTAGATATTTTTTCAATGTAATTGTCTTTCTAGGGATGCATCTTACATGTTGCAAACATACATGCATCTCCTATTTCTATGACTGCAGTAATTAAATGATAATTAGCACCATCTCTGAGAGCTTGGCTCTGATTAAATGCAGTGTATCTTCACAGGTGGAGAGGTTCTCATTTTAACTCCAGGACATTTCTGCTTGATACAAGACCTTTTCATAGCCAGGATTTAAAGCAAAGAGCCAGGCAATGCTGTTTTACTCTTGGCTTTATCTGCAGCTGGCTGCTTGTGTTACCTTACTTGTCTTTCTAGTAAACGATCCCTGGAAGAAACAAGACTGTTTCCCTCTGTAGTTTTGGGTCATTGCACCAAATTTACAGTCCTGTTATAAAAACTGAGATGATTTGGGAAATGCTGGTATATAATTTTTTTGGAGGAGGTGATTGGGGGTTTCTCTCGGTAAAAGGTGCTGTCTCTGATCTATATTTATACAGTCCTTAACACAGAGAGGCTCTGATTCATGATGACAGTTTTTACATCATTTTAGCTCTCAGACAGCTGGGACACAGCTAATATATTTTTGTCAGATTTAATTTTATTGAGTTAGGTAGTTTGTTAGGGCAAACTCTGATTAAAAACCAAAATTAAAATTTTTTTTTTGTGAATCAGAAGGCAACCTGAAGTTTTATTATTAGACTCCAAGAAGAACTTTTATAAGATGAAACCTTGCTAGCAGTTCATCATGTTCAGTTTTTGCACCCTCCTTGGTCTGTTAATGAGAAGAGCAACAAATCTGGAGGCTATTTTCTGGAGAAAGCTCTGAAGAGCCATTTCTACCTACCTGAAATACAAATAACTAACATATACTGAGGTTTACATATCCTACCTTTTCTGAGTAATACAATATCAGTGTTACTGTATAAATATATGAATATAATTTTCATTCCAAAATAGGTAGACTTCCAAGGTGTATGAAAATGTCTTTGTTACCAGCCTACGTGTATGGCAGACCACCAAATTAATAGCTTTTGAGATTTCACTGACTTGTTGCTGACTTCTCAAATAGCTAATAAACATATGGCTTCTGCAGTGCCAAGGACAAATCAATTGTACACCTTTGAGTGTTATGCCAAAAAAAGAGGATCTCATCAGGCCGAGGGGACAGTCTAAATACTGTGTAAATGCAGGCACACTCTGCCTTTGAGCCACCATGCATCTTTCACCAAGGATTTTGCTATGGGCTGTGTGAATGGCTGTTGCTGAGCCGCTGGGTGGCATCACTGCATCATTTTGAGGTTCAGGAGTAATTTATTATTCGGGAACATCAGAAAGATGTCAGCTGCCCAAACAAGAAAAATAGGTGAAAAAGCTCAGATAATTTAGTAACAAAAATATTAGCTGTGCCATTGAAGCTTTTCTCTTACACTTTATATTAATTTAATTAATGCTTGCTTGTATCTTTGATGCTAGAACTTCATGTTTTTCCATTCGTGCAAATCTGATAACACTGATAAAAAACAAATGCAGAGTACACTTGCCCATACACATAAACAATGCCACTTTTAACACTGGGAAAAGCCCCATGATTCTGTTTCTTAATGTTGCCATAATGTTTACCTATAATTGCCGTAATACTTAATATTCTACAAAAAGAAACCTTTATCAGACTTCAGATGGAAAGAGGCAAAGATGCAGTTTGGAAGGCTTTTGCTTTCTAGTGGACTGGGGATAGTGTTCATAACATACATTTCAACAGAATCTATATGTCTGTTTTTCAGTGTGTATCATCTCAGTACTCATATGAAGTTATATCAATCCTGCTGTTAAGGGAATTAAGATATAGAAAGGCTAATGTGATTTATACAAGGATGCTCAGGAGATCCTTATGGAGAGAATTGAATCTGGGTATTCTGACTTGTATATTTTTGTATGTGGAACACAAAAAAAATAATTTGGGAAGGTTTATATTAATTTTGCCTATTATGTGATCACCCCTGTAAATTAATGGTACTCTTGAAGCTCCTTCAAAGGTTGTATGTTTCAAAGGTAGAGTTTCCATTTGAGAGTAATTCTATTCTTGAAAAAAAAGGTTTTCTACAAAATAGTTGGGTTATTTTGTCCCTTTCTTTCCCCAACTCCCCTTTTAATTTAAGTTCCATTTTAAAACTGTGTATATGGTCTTTTTTTTTCTTATGTCTTCCAGAGCAGTTTAATTGGGATGACTATCTGAAAGAGACTGAATCAATAGCTGCCCCTCTACATTGTTTCAGACAGGTATGCCAGATACTCTTTTGCAAGTGTGTGTGTATGTATGCATGTTACAGGGTGATCCTGGAGCAACTTTTACAGTTAGACTTCCGGTTTGACTCCTTTTGATCTCTACTTATCAGTAGCTTACAGTTTTGGCAGGTGAGAGCTACGGAAGTTTTTCATTCTTAGTTTCTGCCTCAAGCCAGACTTTGAGAGTTTCATTAAAATTGTATCTTTGGACTCTGGTTTTCTTTAAAAAAAAGACTAGTTAGTTAAAACAGATAGTTTTATCAGAAATAAAAAATATTTTCTAGCTTTTTCAGTAATCTCAGAGGTACCATGGATTTAGTGAGAATTAAAATTTTTGCTGATCATCAGAGGAGCCTTTCCTCTGCCCCGTTTCTGAACGATTCCTTTCGATTCTGTCTAGCAACAAGATGTGTGCTTAGCAGAGTTTAGTCACCACTTCTTCCCTGTTAGTTTTTTAACATTCTCATTCTGAGCAGAGTGCTTTTTACCAAGGAGTAACAGATATTGAAGTTAAAAAAAAATCAAGGGGAATATATGGGAATACAGAGGAAATACTGAATTTATAACAAAGGGTGTTTAATGTACTATTTTATATCTTACCCTGTAGCCTACATATTTGATTCCCCCCCGCCTGATGGTTTGATATGTATTTGTACGGGTGCAGTTTAAGTCTACCATCTTGTGTGAGCTGATGACCTCCTGTTATTCAGCCCTCTGGAGACTGAGTCGATCTCTGCAGGCATTTTTCTCTCTGTAGAGGGAGTCAGGGCTGGTGTTCTCCCAAGCTGAGGAGTATCTTGTCTGTGTAATAGGATGTGTTTTGGTCTGTATGCCTTTACTGTGTTAGGAAGATAGTTGCTGAAGGAATTGGATAGTTCAGGTTGATAAAAGTGTAATAGGTGTAACAAGTAGTGCATGTCTAGTTTAGTGGCTTGGGCACACTCAGAAAATGTCTTCTAGAGTGTATTGGTAGTCTGATTGTACTGTAAATGATACTGGCCTGCAGTGGGGGACCAAATAAAATCAACACGAATGAAATAGTCTGAGGAGGGGAGGAACCGTCATTCAGTGAGTCTAAAGTAGGTGCAGGAATGGAGAATAAGGAGAGACAAACACAGGTGGTAGCATTTCCTCATGCTAAATCTTGAATCTCAGCTTGCTCTTTGCAGATAAGGATAAAGGGCAGAGAGCCCCTTGCATGCTTTCAGTGAGACATGGCTAAGAGGAATGGTGTCGATAACTCTGTGTGAGTGGAGCTTCAGAAATTAATTTCACAGTATGTGTTTCTCACAGTGGATACCAGCTCAAGGCAGAGACCTAAAACTCTGCTTGGATAGAGGCAGAGGGTGATAACATATCCCTGGATCATCCTGAGGTTAATGCCATACTCACAGACCATAAACCGCCATGTATGCTCCCAAGAAATGTACCTGCTGTAGGAAGCTGCTCAGAAGCTGCTCAAAGGCTCTGTGTGCCTTTCTTGCATCTCCCTCTTCCCTACTAATGCTCAGGAAGTCCAAACTGAACAATCAATAAACACTTTAAATAGAGGTGCTTAGCTGACATGCACTGACTGAGATAAATCTAAGTGAACGGGATTGCTTAAGGAGTGTGTGGGTTGGAAAGATGAGCTTTAATTTATGTGCATAGCAAAATTCAAAACAATTTACATATGCAGATTTTCAGTTTTTCTAAGAGTCGACCTTTAAGTAGAAAATGATATGGAATGTTGATTAGTGCATAGCTAGATCCTCTCCCTACATAATGTTTGCAGATTTTAGAACCTAAAGTGCTTGTGCTTTGTATGGGACTAATTTGACTTTTATTGGGTTACACATGGATTTTATGTGTCCTTATCTATATAATGCAAATAAATACATTCTGCTGAGGCCAGCCAGAAAATAAAGAGCAGAGGGGAACGTAATTTGACAACTATATCCAGAATTTGTGACTTGTGGGAATTCTAAAAGTTTAAATTTTGTAGTAATTAAAAATGACCTGGGGAACAATAAATTAAAGCCTCTACCATAAATTAAGACACAGGCACAGAGAGCTAATGGAAATTGATTAAAGTATTTATCTTAATTTAGAAGGTATTTTATCTGTTTCTTTAAGTTGTTTTTAATTACTACTTAAAATTTCAATGCATTTCACATCCCATTCTCTTACCCTAAAACTTTTTTTGAAGCAGCTGAAAATTTTAAATGTAAAAGTTCAGTCCCTTGTGATTTGAGCAGAACTTTAAACAAGGCTATTAACTGAATGGGTTTTGTTATTTTTCTGTAAGGACAAACTAGCATGGAAGAGTTACCTTTTTAGTAGAACACCTTGAGTTATTGGTATTTAAACAAGCTCACCTTTTCCACAAACAAATAGACAAACTCCCCAATTTCTCAATTTCTGTTGCTTTTCCTGGTAGTAGAAAATAACAGCTTGACAAGCAATATCCTGAAATTGAATTGCCCTTTAAATTTAATATGCTCAGGCTCCCCTTTCAGGCAGCCTGCTGTCTGAGTGCAGCATTGGCAGATGCTATGCTCAGCATTCACTGAATGTTGCTTGCCGCTGGTTTTTGAGCTTGGGCTCCTCCAGAGCTCCTGCTGTCTGTATAGGGTGTGTTGTAAATAGTGCACCTGCACAACCTAGCAAGTATAGGAAGGTGTATTTCAAACATTCAAATGTGGTGGAGAAAAAAATATCACTAACACTTGTTGCAGTAGCAGGTTTGTTCAGTCTTTTCCTGCATCCCCAGAGAGATAAGTGCACCCTTAACTGCTTACTATGGGATCCCTGCCTGACCTGCTCAGTTGGGCAGAAGGGGACATAGGAATCCTGTGAGTGTGAATACCCATGGTTTTGGGTATTCTACCTGCTTCCTGTATTAGAAGTCAGATTGTGTTAGTCTGTATGGGATAGCTACTGGATTTAAATGTCATGGAAAAGGCTGCTTACATTGGTGTCTGCATTCAAAAACAACTTTGTACTGAAGTATTGCAGAAAAGAGCTTCCAAGGGTGATAGGAGAATAGTCATCATCTCTGAAGAGAAACTGTAGTCTTTGACTTCCTTACCTCGTTGAAAGGGTGCTGAGAAAAGGCCAGGTTGCTCTCTGTAAATACACTGTAGATGTTGTTATTTGCAAAAGTGCAAAAGGAATTTAAATTATAGTGTTGGCAAAAAATTCCATTCATAAATTTAGGTGACATCTAAAGAGAATAGTGAGAAACATTCAATCCCCGTTAGTGTTAATACAAAGTTTTAAACATCATTAGGTGATGTCATTGTCTACAATTCCACAGAAAGCAAGTAATCAGACTATGATCCAGTCCATCTCTGCCAGTAGTAGTATGGATACACGAGTAAAAAGTGTTCTTTTTTGTTCATTCTCAGCATGTGACAAAGTTCTGCTCAAAGACCAAGTTGGATTTGTCACATTTTTCTCCTTGTGCTAGTTAAATTGGCATTTCATTGTATGTTATTGATTATATTCAGTTCTCTGCAAACACAAGCTGCAGTTTTTGTCTTAGTATAGAAGTTTTATATGACTGTTTTTTCTTTCTGTAAAATGTTAGCACTAACTCCTTTTTCTGACTTCTGTCTTTGTATGGCAAACTTTTTTTGATGCAGAAATCCTTACCTTGAGCTTCTATAATGCCTAGGACAGTAGGGTCCAAATTTTCTTTATATTTCTGAAATATTATTACTGTGAGGATAACTATTTCTTTTGAATTGAAAGATAATAAACCTTGTGGGTTGACAGGGTTGTTTTCCACAATGGGTGAGGTTTTTTTGTGCGTGTGTTGGTTTGTGTTTTGCTTTTTGTTTTTTTCGTGTATTGAATGTCATGTTTCTCAATGTCTTTGTTTTTCATTCACTTAAAGTATTAGTCACTGCTCCCCATCTTTATGTTCATATCTTCATCAGAATTCCCTTGTTACCCCTCTTAGTGGGATTATCTTTTTAGAAATCAGTCATGTTTATGCGGTTGGTAGGTTATCCAGCTGCCTTTTGTGACTTGCTGCTAAACACTCAAAGTTCAAAAGTTTCTTCATATTTATCACTTATATGATATGTTTGGATGGATGAAAGCTGTATGTTGAACAGACTGGTAAATTTAGCGATGCTAACATCAATAAGAAGAAGTCTTTTACCTTTTACTGTAGTCTAGAATTCCACCTACGAACGATTTCAAAGTTGGTATGAAGCTGGAAGCCCGTGATCCTCGCAATGTTACCTCAGTTTGTATAGCTACAGTCATTGGAATCACTGGTGCCAGGCTAAGGTTGCGGCTGGATGGAAGTGACAACAAAAATGATTTTTGGAGGCTTGTGGATTCCTCAGACATACAGCCCATCGGGACCTGTGAAAAGAAAGGGGGCATGCTTCAGCCTCCACTGGGTAAGAAACAAAGCTTCTGAATGAATGTGTGTGGAGGATTGCTTTCATGACATCGAATTTGCCTTTTTGTCTTGGCTAATTCAATAGTACTAACATTTCACCAAACCATTATTTAGTTGAAAAAGAGGTAAGCAAACTACTTCAGGCTAATTGAATTGTGACTTATTTTTGGATTCTTCTGACATGAGAATGAGCATTTTTGTTGTTTTGTGGAGGGGAGGGTGTTGTTGGTGTTGTTTGGTTGTTTTTTTTTTTTATAATAGTCTCTTAATATTAAATGGGAGTGTCCAACAACTTTCTTAATGATTAGATATGGAGTCATGTGCCCATTCTGTAAATATTCCCTCACATGTAACCTGCCTTACAAGTGTGTACGGTGTTTTGTTGCACGATACCATGTGTGCTCCTGTTGGGAGCCCTTGGAAAGAGCTGGGGGAACTTGCCCTTATGTTCTTCATCAGTGCATTCAAGCAGCCAAGGAGAGGGCACTGACTGCTACCGGCCTGGGAAGTCAGGCAGCTGCCAGAGGCACTTGCCTGCAGGGCAGTTGGGATGTTTCCTCAGGCACTGAGAGAATTGGTTGTATTCTGGGAAAGGCAGCACAGGGTCGGTTTAGTGTGGAATTGAAACGTTCTGCACTGAGGTGGGAAAAGTAGCACTCCAGAGCTCTAGGAAACTGCAGTCTTGTATTGCATGTCATTCTCATCACCTCAAATGGACACATGTTCTGGGGTGTCAGACCAGTGTGTCATAGCTAGTTTGTGAGCACAACAGAACGCTTGTGAGCAGGGTGTATTTTTCTTATGCTTAGAAATAGCATGCAGAGTTTCTTTTGCCTTCTGTGAGCAATATGGGTAACAACACAGTGTGTTTCCCCAAACTGAGAAATAGGGCTTGGGCTTAGTCTTATTGAGGGAGTTTATTAAATTGGGAACTGTACAAAGGAATTCCTCACTGTTTGATGAATAGTCAGAGTTAACTTTGAATAAACTACTAGGGGTAGTAAAGCATGACGTTACCTTTCTTTGCTGCGATTAACCTGTATATTTAGATCTGCATTCTTGTACTGTATTTGTTATAACCTTAACTTCTACATGTGAAAATCTTTAAAGAGTTCACGTTGGTCTGAAAATAGTTTTGCTTTTAGGAAGGAGGAAAATTAACAATCAAAATTTACCTGAACACTCACTCACTGTTACCCTGTTCTGTAATTTTTAGAAGATGCGAGAAATAATGTTCTTAATATAAGAAATTAACTGTGTGCAGAAATTGGTTGCTGATGGTTTTCCATCTTATGAACCTACTTCTAGTTTGGTGTCATGAGTAATTCTTACAGATTTCTCATCAGACGTTTAGTGAGGATAGGTATTATTTCTCTTAGTAGCCTCTCAAAAACTTGTCATCCCAGTTTATTAGCAACTTCCAGTTCTTCTGTTTGAAAGACAAAGTGAAAAGTCTCGTTTCACTTCAGCATGAAACTTGATTTGCTTGTAGAGAGACAGACATAGGAGCAGTTGACATAACCATTAAGGTACTTCACAGAGATTATAGAGGTAGGTTTTTGTGCTGTTGTGTTACTTCAGGAACACAAGGAAAGCAATGCAATCAGAGTAGCCAGTCTAGAAAAATATTATTAGGATAGATACAGTTTAGGCCCAGAAAGGCTTTTTTTTTTTTTCCTTCTCTCCTGTGGATATATGGAGGTTTTAATGAAAACACTGAAAATTCTTGACATTGGAGGAAAAAGTCTTTTTTTTTGAGGAGCTTCTCAGTTTAACCTCTCTGAAGTTATTGATATAACCTTGTAGAATTAATGAAGTGATACCAGTATGGAATCTTCATTTGCGAAACCTAGCCATGATGATGATGACCAGTATGGAAAAGGGAAGAGTACACCAGTTCCTTCAGCTGCACATATGTACAGTGTTAAATATATGGCTTCAGGAACATAGTGATTTTTTAAAATGTGTTTCTAAACCAGTCTGATGAATAAAACAACTCCAGTTATGTATAATGGGGGCAGTTAATTCATTAAGAAGCGAAACTTTCCATGGTCATCAGTAGAAAGGTTGATACCTTCTTTTCAGATACTGTTTCTTACTCCTTATTTGATCAGGCTGTTTGTGCAGCACCTCACAAGCAGTTGTTTTCCTGCACCCAGGCATGTAAGCTTACCTGCCCACTGAACAATTGCTGGTTATTCAGAAAAGAATGTGAGTGTCATTATTTTGTTCCTCCTGCCCTAGATTTTTCTAGAGATAGGCTGAATTCCAGCAATCAAACATTCTGGCACACCTAGATAAATTTTTGAAAAAGCGTTTTTGGCACTTGTACAGCATCCTGTTTCTGGGCAAAGCTGGGAGCTAATTGGGTGTATAATTACCTCCTGTTAGACATTTAAGCAACTGATTTTTTTTTTCTAAGTAGTAGGGAACCTTCTGGATACTAATGTTCTGCTTCTATCATAATAACTGGATAAAACAGTCCCTCCTACCTGATTTTTACATGGGTTTAATTATGCATGTTACATAAAATTTTTGAGAAAGTGATTATTGTAGTAAAGGACTCCTTTTCCAGCCTCTGTTTTCCATAGGTGAGCGTTTTGTTGTTGAGATCTTAATGTTTTGAACAAATTATAATGCAGACAGCATTTTCTCTGGTTTTACCAGGATGACTTTAAGGCCAAATGAAGTGAATTGAAACTTTTGTTTAGTTGTCATTCCTCTGTCTTGCTTGTATCTGTTTTCTGGGCAAGCTAGCTGGGAATATTGTGTTTCAGTAACCACACGTGTTTAGATTGTATAAAGACTCTAGTATGAAACCAGGCCTAAAAATCAACTTAGCAGTCCTCAAATTATGACACCATTTATCACATACAAGCTTTACATTCATTTGAGTGTTGCATAGGTGGTTCCAATGTGAAAACTGTTTATTCAATGGAAGGTAGCTTAAAGCTATGAGCTAAAGAAGCATTATAGCATATAATCCAATTTTAGATGAGTAAATGATTTAACTTATCAAGAATTGCAGATATGTTCTGCCTTTCGAGTTAGTTTTTTAGGAGAATTGTTCAGGCTCAGTTGTGAGGGAACTTGTCAGTTCCTGGCAGATTCTGGTACTATTTGCTTTATGGAAAAAATTCCAATTTGCTCTGTTATGTCTATTTTTCTGTAGAACTGTGCCAGACATATAACTGCTAAAGATGCAGAAAAAAATGTCCACTATGTCTGTTATCTTACTCATTACTTTAAAACATTTATTTGGAAAGCACAGAAAGAAAAAGGATATTTTTTGTGTTTTTTGGTTTGTCTTTTAACTGGAAAGTAGTTGATTATAAGGAAAGATTATCTGGAATGAGAATCTTTTCAACCAAACCTTTGTTCTACTTAGTAAGGTAGTTCATCTAAGCGTACTTGATTGTTGTTTGTGCTTTTTATTCACTTTAATGAAGCATAATAAAGTAGATCTTCTGATTTATGTTTTTCAATATGATACACATACTTGCTAAAATAATTGTATTTTTTCTTCACTCCTAGGCATTCTTTGGTTTTTATGGCTATTAATGTTTTTGTTTTAATGGGGTAGGGAGAAGAAACCAGTTATTCTTTTTTTTTTTTTTTTTTGTCTGTGATCTGGTGAAAGAATGACAAGATTCTCAAAAATAATAAAGTATCTCCTCAATAAATGAGCTGGAACAGAGGATGCTGTTTTAGAATGAGAAAAAGAGCAGACCTGAAGAGAAAGCTAAGGTGCTTGTGCTGGGGAAGTTCCACTGGACCAAGGACTATGTGGAACAACCTTATGAACTACTGTGCCAGAACTTGCATGTCGTTAAATCCTAGAAGTTTATCTCTAATATCCCCCTGTATGATTCTGCAGGCCAGTCACTCAGAGTGGAAATGCACGCTTTCTGTACCACAGGCAACCATGTTCATTCCTTCTTGGCTGCTTTTATTTTGGCCAAGTCTAAAATAGAGGGAATGAGGCATTAATAAAACAGACATTATATGCTTCTCCTCTTATTGTGTATTACAGACTGAAAGTAGGGCTGTTTGTTTGTTTGTTACTCAGGGTTCCAGATGAATGCATCATCTTGGCCAACATTTCTCTTAAGAACTCTCAATGGAGCCGAAATGGCACCTGCAGCATTCTTTAAGAAGGTAAGAAGAAAGGCATTTCTAGTAAACAATTTCCTATCAGTTGGTCCATGGTTACATTTTTTAGTGAGGATGCCAAGATATTACCGTGTTTTCTGCATTGCAGACAGGAAAGGCAAGACTATTATTTAAAATTACTTTGGACTGGATTGACAAGCTACAGAGCTAGACAGAAAGCAATCTGCTACTAGTCCATTGAGATGGGTATTTCTTTTCCTGAGCTGAGACTTCAAAGTATGGTGTGTTATTTAGGAATATTGTGTTTGCTCATTTTTTGTCTCACAGATTTTAGATACAATGCATATCACATTTCTTAGCGGCATTGTACTTGTGATTGTGCACAGGAGTTAAAAAAAAATAATGGGGAATGAGAGCTGTTGAAATACTTCCAGTGGTACTTGGAAAGGTTTTGTTAAACCTTTTCATTGGGCACATACTCGTCATTTAAAATGTAGCGAGAAAGTAGTTGAAAATAGCAGAAAAAGCTGTTCAGTTTTTTAAACATGACTCTCAAGTAAGTTACCATGAAACAGGAAAATCTATATAAAAACAACAGTAGTATTAAAATGACTCATTGGTTCAATTTTTTGTTGAGGTGATAAAACCCTGCTGTCACACTGAGTGTCTCAATTTTGGATACTGAGAGTGATATTGACAACTATGTCAGCAAATCAAACAGTTGGGTTCAGACCTTCAATCACATCACTTGGCGTTAATTTCATATAATTATAATTTTTTTAGATAAGATTATATGAATTTTCTGAGGTGTGATGAGCCATACTTCTCTGGGCTAGCACATTTGAGATGGGTTTGAATAAAAAGGTTCTTGAGGTGGTGATTGGTGTTCCATTGGATCACAGCTCCTGCTGTGGAGGCACACATATGCTGGTCACATAGGCTTGATTTTTGTTTTTCTTTTGTCCATTTGGAATTGGTCTAAGGCCAACTGAGTTAGCAGATGCCTATAAATAATGTCCAATGCTAATGAATTTTTCATGGATTAATTGAGAGGTAAAGCTTTTACCAGACAGTTATCAGTCCCCAGAAATATCCATGCTCTGCAAACCTCCTATTCTTTATTAGCATGTAATCATTTCATTTTATTGTCTTTGCTGTCTTGCTGCCCAGACATAATGTATTGGGTGCAAACAATTGCTTATGTAAATACTTTTAGCGGGGTCTCTCTGTCATGGAGAATTTTACTAATTATCCCAGCTATCTTTGTGGGAATAGAACCTAGATTTTTATAATACAGAAGAGCAAAGGCAAAATTGCAATATGTATAAGTTTCTTTGGATGTCTGCTATAACTTTTTGAAAATAGTGAGTATAAATGAGTAAGGATGGTGAGGAAAAATAAAAGGTTTTTGTTTTCTTTTGGTTTTTTTCTTTTTTTAAGAGACCATGGAAATACAGGTATTCTGCCACTCTTATTTTTGTAGGAACCACCAAAACCTGTGCCAAACTGCTTTAAAGTTGGAATGAAACTTGAAGCTATAGACAGAAAGAACCCATACTTGATTTGCCCAGCAACCATTGGAGATGTTAAAGGAGATGAAGTTTTTGTTACATTTGATGGCTGGAGAGGAGCATTTGACTATTGGTGCAGATGTGATTCTCGAGATATTTTCCCAGTCGGATGGTGTAGCTTGACAGGAGATGCATTACAACCACCAGGGAATGATGGTAAGATGACTAATAATATTGCTTAATTATTTTTCTCCTCAATTACAGCAGACTTTTAAAAACCAGCTGGCTGTATGCAGATAACACTGAAGATTTGATTTGTGAGTAGCTGATGAGGATGAAATGTTGTTGAATTTTCTTTATGTACTGTAAAGCTAATAGGAATTGCTGGGAAACAATTTTTGCCTGTTCATAGTAAATTTGGGAACATGCTTTATGTAATACTATCAGGGGGACTTCTGATGATCTCTAATTTTTGTGTGCTTGTGAAAAATCTTGGATTTAGACTAGATTTGCTGTTTGTGTTATTGATAAACACCCTGATTTGATGATACTAATATATTGGCTGCCACAGCACTTTATATTAAGCTAACTGCTGAGAAAGTAAAGTAGTCTGTGCTTCTGTAATGATTGAAGGTCTAAGCTATGTATTTATTGTTTCTTCCTTCATATTCACAAAATTCTGCCTTGAAGCTGCCTATTCCGAATGCTTTGTCATCCTCTTGCCTTTAAGGATGTTTGTCGATTGGGTGATAGTGTCCCTGTAACTGATGGCCACTGTGTTTTATAACATACAGCTGTCTACCTTTGAAGGAAGGGAGATAGCATCAAGAGGGATATCCTTGAATGTAATCCTTTCGCTACTCTGGGGACCACTTGTCAGGTTTCTGTAATGTAAGGCTTTTCTGTCAAACTGAGCCTTTTCTATCCTCATCCCATAAAATTTATCAGGAAGAGAGATTTTTAAAGAGGGGAAACATAATTAATTACTTTAATATCATTAGCCAGAATAATTTGTTTTCAGTGGGAATTTTCACAGCTGGTGTTGGGTGAGTAAGGAACTAGTACACTGGTGTCACAGAACTCCCACTGGAAGTACCAAAAGAATAGAAATAGAAAGGCAAGAAATTAGTCATGTTTTCTACCCTTTCCATCCCCTGTTGTTATTCTCAGTCTTTTGCCAGCAGATCAAGAACTGTATGGAAAATCTAACTGAAAGTAGTTAAGGGTACCTCTGCATCCTTGCCCTCACCTGCCTGTCTGTAGTTATTGCCAATAGTTATAGTACCTGGAATTGAGTTTAGTCCATTTTGGCTGATTTTAACAAGGGAGCAAGTCTGTGTGTAGCTGTACTGTCCAGGATGATCTGCTGGTACAAACCTGCAGTGAGAAGGAAAGGCAAAGTCAGGTGAGGATGATCTACGTTGATCAGAAATCATCTAGTAGGTACCAAGCTGACCTCAGTCCTAATGTTGCAGTACTCCCAAGTGTCTTTCTCAGCTTCTGCAGAGGGTTGACCTTGTCTTGAGAGACCATGAATGAGTTGTCTTCTTATGGTAAGTTAATTATTTATTTAACATGTGGGTGACTGTGCACTAGAACAGATTGTCCAGAAAGGTTGTGGAGTCTCCCTCCCTGGAGATGTTCAAGAGCCATCCTGTGCCATGTGCTCTAGGATGACCCTGCTTGAGCAGGGAGCTTGAACCAAATGACCCACTGTGGTCCCTTCCAACCTTACCCATGCTGTGATGCACAAAAGTGGCTGTGTAAATAAGTGGCATAGAATTTTTAGAAGGTTTTTTTGTAACAGTTCAGATTGCTCAGTCCAATTTCATCTTCTGAAAAGTATTATTAAATTGTTTAGTCTACTCCAGTTTCACTACTGAGAAGCCAACGATACTTTGAGGTAGTATGTACGGAATTTTTCTTGCCTGATTAGTGCTTGATAGAGCTTGAAGAATTGTTTGACAATTAGTTAGTAAAGCTGATTATGTAATCTAGTTGTTCAGACAAAAGAAAATATTTGAGTATATTCAGATTTGCTGAAGACTTTAAATACCTACCCAAGTAGGATACTATTGCTTTGTTATGAAAAACAAAAACACTTCAGGCATAAATAAAACCTGAAGCAAGATGCTTAGACTTTTAGTGAAAACTGAGAAATTTGGATATGTGATAGAAACTGAGTGCAGAGAGGTGCAGGCCAGAGATTTTTTATTTTTGATCCTAAAAGTGAGTACAAAGTTAACTGTGGTTCTATTGAAATTGTGTGCTCTTTTTGCACCAATCTGATCCTAAGTAATTTGTTATTTCTGTTTTACTTTGTGTGCTTATTTTTTGTGCTGTTTGTGTATGTTATATAGACTTGTCAAATTTATATAGCTAGATGAAATATTGTTTGCTCTCAGGTTTTGTTTTCACTGTTATTTGATTGCTTTTGAGCCACTGAAGAACTGTAATGATAGTCCTTTATTGAGATGTAAGTAATATCTTCAAGAAGAGTGTAATCAAGTCATTTCAATTCAGTAATATGATAATTTTGTCAGGATTCTTCATTAAGTCACATTAACAATGACTACTCCTGTTAAGGAAGAAAGTATGACAGATACTATATTGCAGGGATTCGTTTGGAATATTACAGTATAATTCTGGTCTGGAATTTTTTCTTTCAGGTTACTTTAGTATTTCTGCCTTAAATTTCCTTAATACAAAGTGAAAAATAATTGACTGAGAGTGGCTTAAATTTCAGAGTGAATATGAGAAATATTCTTGATTTTTGTAACTACCTTTCCTGAAGGCGTTTAAATGTGTTAAATCACTACTTAAAGAGCTTAAAAAAATACGAAAGCCTCAGATATTAGTGAACAAGCAAAGCCAATATCCTGCAATCTAAGTATGAATGCAATAAAGGATGCTTTAAATTTCATCCATACCTAGGACCACAATTTCCTGCCATGAGATGTATTTTGGGGTCTAATTTAGCCTTTAGAAAGAGAGATGAAATGCAGCAAGAGGGACAATATGAAAATTAGGAAAGATTTTATTTTAGCTGGTTACTGTCTTAGCCTTTTAGGATGCCCAGAGAGAATGTAGGACCTCTGCCATGGGAGGTGTTTAAACACCGGCTTCTTGGATGTGGGCAAGTGTATTCAGACCAGATTACATGATATATTTGCTCTTCATAGCTGTATCTTCTCTAACTCTCATTGGTATTAGGCAGATGAGCTCATGAACTAAGACACAGTTAAAAGAAGATAATGTAGAGAAGGTAGTTGAGAAGTTATTTTAGACCGACTCTCGATAGCATTCAGGCCTTAATCTTTGTGTTTTATGTTTTGTCTTTGGCCCTTATCAGAAGACGGGACTTAAGTGGACCTGTCTGGATGTCAGAGTATGTCTACAGTGGTATGAAATGTAGCATTCGGTATTTGTACTGTCAGAAGCTGTGCCTAGCTAATATTGTAGTTTGTTTCACTAGACATATCTCTGATAGTAGTAATTTGTTGTGTATGGTTTGAATTCAATGCTTGATATTGGCTTGACCTACTGCCTCAAGTTTAATATTTTAAGGATGCAGTAGATTATTTTCTCTTTGTCTCTTGGTCACTTACGTGCTTTTAGAGATGACTTGTCACCCATAAACATTGTTGTGAACTATAGCAGGTGAAAGAGTTTGACATGATAATGTCTATGCTGGACCAGTCTGAAGGACCATCTGTTCTAGCAGGCTTTCTTCAGCACTGGCTGAAGGAGAGAATACTGTTCCTAGTATCTGTCCCTCTATAACTCAGCATCTTCCAAACCCAGAATAATGCTTTTATGCTGCCTACCTCCTAGAGGAGTTTGATCTAATCTGTTCAATTGTATATTGGAATTATCTGAACTTCTGGCACTTATCCTGCAGTAAGGAGTTCTCTACTTGAGTGTATGTTCTATGGAAAAAGGAGGTATTACTGTTTCTTGCTGGTAATTTGTTGTCCTTGGTTTCTGGTACTGTAATAGCTTCTTGTACTTCCACTACTTGTACAGGAAGATTTTGCTTTTGTAGTTCCAGGATTAGTTTTATTCTCCTGGTCACTCTTGTTCTTGTTTGCTTTTCATCTATGGCATTTTTGAGCCACTGGAACCAGAAATGCACAACGTATTGAAACTTAGGGGCATAGTGGTAGCTTCTGTTGTATTTTCTGTTCCTTCCATAATTACTTGTGAATTGGTATTTGCAGTTTTTTGGACCATTACTGAGCAATGAACTGATATGATGTACTTCCTTGAGTGCGTATGAATGCAAGAAACCCTTGTCTTGTTGCTTTAGTGTTACCTTCTGTGTTTGGTCATTCTGAAATTCTGTCATCTCTTGGTTCCATAATAACTTCTGCTTTTGATATGCTTTAAGAAGGCTTTTAGAGTTTTATATCTTTTGCGTGTTTTTTTTTTATTCACTCTTTTTCTAAGCCAAATGTACTGTACTCTTCTATTTAACCAGAATAGATTGTAATTTTTACTTTGCTCAGTTGAATAATAGAAAGCTATGCCTAAGAATATTCTTGTGTTGCTCTGTAGATAATTGTGTCTGAGGCTTATGATTGAAGTAGGCGGCAGATAACTCGAGATTTTCAGAACAATTTCTATTTGCTGTTTCTGTATAAATTTATTTTATTGTTTAATTATTGTATGCAAATGATAGTTACTTAGGCAACCCACCATTTTTATTTATAATAGAAGTAAACCTTTTTCCATAAAAGAGAAAAAACAAAAGAACAACTGGGGACAAATCACGTGGGAAATGATAAGTAGTTTCACCTGCAAAGACTGATTTCAGTATGAAGTAGTATCCATCATTTAGATGTGAGCAGCATATGGAGAGGGATCAGTTTCTATATATTCATGATCCCCATGGCCTTATGAAGATGGATCTTTGAAGGATGATGGTGATGCAAGAACTCATATAGGAGGAACTGCTCTCTGTGCTCTACAGGAGAAAATTTGGGGGACCAAAGGAAGACGATGAAGTAATTAAAAAAACTCAAATGTGATACACTAACTTTTATCCTTAGTCATATTCCTTCTTTCACTCTCTGTCTCCCTCTCTTCCACATCCTGTGTTCCCTCATTGCTTTTCTCCCAGTTCAGTGCATTTATTGTCTGTGAGAGCAATCTTCTTTCATTACGCTAATCAGCCTGTGATGCTAAAGGTCGTCTTCAAAAGCTATCTGCAGCAA